CCTGTAAAACACGAAACAAGAGTTTTTTGCTTTACCAATCAGGCCACGCTGCTGAAGCCCTTACACTGCAATTATCTGGTGACTTTGTAATCCCTTATTTTTGGATATCATGATTCTTGCTTCATACAGGTCGGCGTTCAATCCCCGACCGTCCAAGTGGTTGGGCACCCTTCCTTCCCCCCGTCACATCCCAAAATCTTTTCCTGACCCCTTCCAAGTGCTATGTAGTCGTAATGGCTTGGCGCTTTCCCCCTGATAGTTCGTTCCTTCCTTGCAATACATTGTTGAGGACCTGCTGGACTTACAGGAAGATTATTGTGGCTGTCGTTTGTTGCATATCAACTGTATCTGCATCAACACATTACAGCAAGTGTTCCTTGCAACCTGCAATTATTCTTTTTACGTAAATACGGTTCAAAGATGATTTGAAACCTATTTTTTGAGTAATTAGTAATTTCACTATACCCAAGCTCTGAATTAGGTAGTCATACTGGTCTCAGAAACATCACCACGTCAACCACTACTACCACCAACACCACTATCACCTCTATCATTGCAATCACCACCACAATTGCACCATAACCCCCTCTACACGAACCCTGCACCACTACCACCATATACCCGGGATCAACAGACATATACCCGGGGTCAACAGACATATACCCGGGTCGACAGACATATACCCGGGGTCAATAGACATATACCCGGGTCGACAGACATATACCCGGGGTCAACAGACATATACCCGGGGTCAACAGACATATACCCGGGGTCAACAGACATATACCCGGGGTCAAGGAGCGTGGTGTAGGGAGCAACAGAACAAGGGCAGCCACACAGACCAAGAAACCAGCTGGGAGGTCTGTTAATTGATCTATATTCCAAGGGGACTTGTCTACAGGTAATTTGTTTACTGTGTACAAGGTGGGTGGAAGGTGGGGGGGAGGGGGGGGGATAGGGAAGGATGGGTAGGGGGGGATAAAGGTTAGGTGGGAGATGGTGATGTTGGCTAGGCAGGGTTGTTGTTATAGATTCAGCTACTCGGAAGACGTTCCAAGTAGCACGGGCTATAGTGAGCCCGTAACTTACCTGGCACAGGAGCGGGGTAAGTAGCACGGGCTATGGTGAGCCCGTAGTGGACTTACCTGACACTGGAGCTAGGCAGGGAAGGAGGTGTTGATTGTGGAGGATATTAGAGAGAGAGTAGAGGCGAGGCAGACATTATTGACACGGCAGAGGCGATACGGAATAACAGATGTGAAACGGATGGCTGGGCTGACTGCAATTTTCTGGTCTTCCAGAAGGGCTTCGACGCAGTACCGCTCCAAACAAAAGCAGCCACATAAGCTAAATAAAGGCTGGAGTGATTGACAGGGCACTAAACTGAGTTAAGAAATTACTAACGTGTTATATATAAAAGAGAGTTTAAGGTGAAGCATCGACGTAGAGACCACTAAAAAGTGAATTACCTATAGATCTGCTAACACTCTTGACTTTCTCGGTGGATAAGTTCTTACTAACAAAGTTGCCTTAATACCACCACGCACAACCTACGTGAGACCAGTGCTAGAATATGCAGCCGCCAGCGTGAAAACATTCTCACATTTCTGGAATAGACGAGAGGGAATGATACATGGTTGAGACATGTTTCTTAGGTAGTTTGACCGGACACATGTGGAAGACATACTGAAGTTCACCAACAACAGAACAAGCGGGTGTATTGCAAAATAGGAAAGTAATACTCAGGAGAAACTGTTAACCTGTGTAACTATAGCACTTGGAGGGTATGGGAGGAGGGGAGCTGGGTATGAGGAGCTGGGATATGCGGTGAGGGATATGAGGAGATCCACGTGTAGTGACTGAGCAACGCTCATATGTATGTTAATGGGGATGATGCACAGTGTGCAAGTTAGTAGTGAGGTAGTAACTCTTACTGCACTAGTGGAGTGGGCTGGTGGCAGGTGGCATAAAGTGGCGAGCAAGTGGCAGGAAAAGGAGAGAAGATGGTGGGTCAAGGACGCCAAGGGAAGTATATGTTGCAGAAACAGTTGGGCAGTTGTTGCAAACTCGAGAAAATTGGAGCCAGGTGGTTTATGTTGCATAGAGGGTTGATGGTGGTATGCACGAGGTGGTTAGGTGGAGGGGAGGGTTATGGAGGGGTGGGTGGGTGGGTGGCACCCACTCAACCCACCCCTTGCAACGTGCAATACCCACCCTCTACATATTTCATATTTACATGTACGGTACATGTCTAAGGGAGTGCCGCCCCCCCCTGGTGCTGGAGGGAGGATGGTGGTGGTGGTTGGTGACCATCTTGGTTATGGTGGTTGGTTGGTGAAGAGTCTGTGGTGAGACAGGTTGTTGATGAGTGTGTGTTGATGATACAGTAGTTGCAGTACTCTTCACCCCTACAATATCACACATATATACCGTCACCCAACACACTAGTATCACTTCATCACAAACTAAAAACACTTAAACCATTTGCAAACCACAACAGCGTCGCTGTGCGGGCTGGGGTTTAGTGTGGGGGTGATATAGCAGACAATTGTGAAGGGTTCTGCATGGAGAATGAACACCGCAGCATGTTGTAGTCCTCGGGTAAATGCAGTGACATTTCCCCAACATTTATGTCCTCAACTGCGCGTGGAGGGCCGAATAGGACATATTTCCCTGTAAATGTCAGGGTTCCCCGGCTTCCAGCACCATTTAAAAGGGCTCAGAGTCCCTGTAAATAGTGAATATAATACTATATAAATATGGATATATTTCCATTGTTGCCGATCGAAAGGAGTATATCTTCAGTGCTTATTGCTGGTATATCTGTATATCTGTCTTTATAGGAGCAGGCTTCAGATGAGCTGAGGTAGGATAACAGCTCTTGCTTGCAGTTTCATTGGGTACTCCAAATGAGAGAGAGAGAGAGAGAGAGAGAGAGAGAGAGAGAGAGAGAGAGAGAGAGAGAGAGAGAGAGAGAGAGAGAGAGAGAGAGAGAGAGAGAGAGAGAGAGAGAGAGAGAGAGAGAGAGAGATAGCTTTGGCTCTTTGGTCCCGCCTCTCAACCGTCAATTAACTGGTGTACAAGTTCCTCAGCCTAGTGGGTTCAATATCATACCTACATCTGAAACTGTGTATAGAGTCTGTTTCCACACTAGTTAGAAATGTTTCGTGTGTCTAGTGTGTATAGTGTGCTTGATGTGTATAGTGTGTATGGTGACTTGCATACACAAGTGTGTATTGTAGCTTCCAGAGATCACTGTAGTGACCAGTGCAGGATAATTGCTGACAACCTGTGCTTGCTTCTTCGTGGTGAAGATTGTGGTGATGGTGGTGGTTGTGGTGGCTGTAGTGGTGGTTGTGGTGGCTGTGGTGGTGGTTGTGGTGGCTGTAGTGGTGGTTATGGTGGCTATGGTGACTGTAGTGGTGGTTGTGGTGACTGTAGTGGTGGTTATGGTGGCTGTAGTGGTGGTTGTGGTGGCTGTAGTGGTGGTTATGGTGGCTATGGTGACTGTAGTGGTGGTTGTGGTGGTGGTTATGGTGACTGTAGTGGTGGTTGTGGTGGCTGTAGTGGTGGTTATGGTGGCTATGGTGACTGTAGTGGTGGTTGTGGTGACTGTAGTGGTGGTTATGGTGGCTATGGTGACTGTAGTGGTGGTAATGGTGGCTATGGTGACTGTAGTGGTGGTCATGGTGGCTGTAGTGGTGGTTATGGTGGCTGTAGTGGTGGTTATGGTGGCTGTAGTGGTGGTTATGGTGGCTGTAGTGGTGGTTATGGTGGCTGTATTGGTGGTTATGGTGGCTGTAGTGGTGGTTATTGTGGCTGTAGTGGTGGTTGTGGTGATGGTGGTGGTTGTGGTGATGGTGGTGGTTGTGGTGGCTGTAGTGGTGGTTATGGTGGCTGTAGTGGTGGTTATGGTGGCTATGGTGGCTGTAGTGGTGGTTATGGTGGCTGTAGTGGTGGTTATGGTGGCTATGGTGGCTGTAGTGGTGGTTATGGTGGCTGTAGTGGTGGTTATGGTGGCTGTAGTGGTGGTTATGGTGACTGTAGTGGTGGTTATGGTGACTGTAGTGGTGATTATGGTGACTGAAGTGGTGGTTATGGTGGCTGTAGTGGTGGTTATGGTGGCTGTAGTGGTGGTTATGGTGGCTATGGTGACTGTAGTGGTGGTTGTGGTGGCTGTAGTGGTGGTTATGGTGACTGTAGTGGTGTTTGTGGTGGCTGTAGTGGTGATTATGGTGGCTGTAGTGGTGGTTATGGTGGCTATGGTGACTGTAGTGGTGGTTGTGGTGGCTGTAGTGGTGGTTATGGTGGTTGTGGTGGCTGTAGTGGTGGTTATGGTGGCTGTAGTGGTGGTTATGGTGGCTGTAGTGGTGGTTATGGTGGCTATGGTGACTGTAGTGGTGGTTGTGGTGGCTGTAGTGGTGGTTATGGTGGCTGTAGTGGTGGTTGTGGTGGCTGTAGTGGTGGTTATGGTGGCTGTAGTGGTGGTTGTGGTGGCTGTAGTGGTGGTTATGGTGGCTGTAGTGGTGGTTGTGGTGGCTGTAGTGGTGGTTATGGTGGCTATGGTGACTGTAGTGGTGGTTGTGGTGGCTGTAGTGGTGGTTATGGTGACTGTAGTGGTGGTTGTGGTGGCTGTAGTGGTGGTTATGGTGGCTGTAGTGGTGGTTATGGTGGCTATGGTGACTGTAGTGGTGGTTGTGGTGGCTGTAGTGGTGGTTATGGTGGCTGTAGTGGTGGTTGTGGTGGCTGTAGTGGTGGTTATGGTGGCTGTAGTGGTGGTTGTGGTGGCTGTAGTGGTGGTTATGGTGGCTATGGTGACTGTAGTGGTGGCTATGGTGACTGTAGTGGTGGTTGTGGTGGCTGTAGTGGTGGTTATGGTGACTGTAGTGGTGGTTGTGGTGGCTGTAGTGGTGGTTATGGTGGCTGTAGTGGTGGTTATGGTGGCTGTAGTGGTGGTTATGGTGGCTGTAGTGGTGGTTGTGGTGGCTGTAGTGGTGGTTATGGAGGCTGTAGTGGTGGTTATTGAGTTTGGACTCTTGGCACCGTCAGACGACCCTTGGCACCGTCAGACGACCCTTGGCACCGTCAGACGACCCTTAACACCGTCAGACGACCCTTGGCACCGTCAGACGACCCTTGGCACCGTCAGACGGCCCTTGGCACCATCAGACGGGCCCTTGGCACCGTCAGACGACCCTTGGCATCGTCAGACGGGCCCTTGGCATCGTCAGACGGCCCTTGGCACCGTCAGACGGCCCTTGGCACCGTCAGACGGCCCTTGGCACCGTCAGACGGGCCCTTGGCACCATCAGACGGGCCTTGGCACCGTCAGACGGCCCTTGGCACCGTCAGACGGCCCTTGGCACCGTCAGACGACCCTTGGCACCGTCAGACGGCCCTTGGCACCGTCAGACGGGCCTTGGCACCGTCAGACGACCCTTGGCACCGTCAGACGACCCTTAGCACCGTCAGACGACCCTTGGCACCATCAGACGACCCTTGGCACCGTCAGACGACCCTTGGCACCATCAGACGACCCTTGGCACCGTCAGACGGGCCCTTGGCATCGTCAGACGACCCTTGGCACCGTCAGACGGCCCTTGGCACCGTCAGACGGCCCTTGGTACCGTCAGACGGGCCCTTGGCACCGTCAGACGACCCTTGGCACCGTCAGACGACCCTTGGCACCGTCAGACGACCCTTGGCACCGTCAGACGGCCCTTGGCACCGTCAGGCGACCCTTGGCACCGTCAGACGATCCTTGGCACCATCAGACGACCCTTGGCACCGTCAGACGGGCCCTTGGCATCGTCAGACGACCCTTGGCACCGTCAGACGGCCCTTGGCACCATCAGACGACCCTTGGCACCGTCAGACGGGCCCTTGGCATCGTCAGACGACCCTTGGCACCGTCAGACGACCCTTGGCACCGTCAGACGACCCTTGGCACCGTCAGACGGGCCCTTGGCATCGTCAGACGACCCTTGGCACCGTCAGACGGGCCCTTGGCACCGTCAGACGGGCCCTTGGCACCGTCAGACGACCCTTGGCACCATCAGACGACCCTTGGCACCGTCAGACGGGCCCTTGGCATCGTCAGACGACCCTTGGCACCGTCAGACGACCCTTGGCACCATCAGACGACCCTTGGCACCGTCAGACGGCCCTTGGCACCCTTGGCACCGTCAGACGGCCCTTGGCACCGTCAGCCGGGCCCTTGGCACCGTCAGACGACCCTTGGCACCGTCAGACGACCCTTGGCACCGGCACCCTTGGCACCGTCAGACGACCCTTGGCACCGTCAGACGGCCCTTGGACCGTCAGACGGCCCTTGGCACCGTCAGACGACCCTTGGCACCGTCAGACGACCCTTGGCACCGTCAGACGGGCCCTTGGCACCGTCAGACGACCCTTGGCACCGTCAGACGGCCCTTGGCACCGTCAGACGGCCCTTGGCACCGTCAGACACCCTTGGCACCGTCAGACGACCCTTGGCACCGTCAGACGACCCTTGGCACCGTCAGACGACCCTTGGCACCGTCAGACGGCCCTTGGCACCGTCAGACGGCCCTTGGCACCGTCAGACGACCCTTGGCACCGTCAGACGACCCTTGGCACCGTCAGACGACCCTTGGCACCGTCAGACGGGCCCTTGGCATCGTCAGACGACCCTTGGCATCGTCAGACGGGCCCTTGGCACCGTCAGACGACCCTTGGCACCGTCAGACGACCCTTGGCACCATCAGACGACCCTTGGCACCGTCAGACGGCCCTTGGCACCATCAGACGGGCCTTGGCACCGTCAGACGGCCCTTGGCACCATCAGACGGGCCTTGGCACCGTCAGACGACCCTTGGCACCGTCAGACGACCCTTGGCACCGTCAGACGACCCTTGGCACCGTCAGACGACCCTTGGCACCATCAGACGGGCCTTGGCACCATCAGACGGGCCCTTGGCACCGTCAGACGGCCCTTGGCACCATCAGACGGGCCTTGGCACCGTCAGACGGCCCTTGGCACCGTCAGACGGCCCTTGGCACCATCAGACGGGCCTTGGCTCCGTCAGACGGGCCTTGGCACCGTCAGACGGCCCTTGGCACCGTCAGACGGCCCTTGGCACCATCAGACGGCCCTTGGCACCATCAGACGACCCTTGGCACCGTCAGACGACCCTTGGCACCATGGTAAAGGGGCGTTGTGAGGGGTCAGTGGTCGCTGTTTGGGGTGTAGGCGGGGCGTGAGAGGGTGGGCGGGGCGTGGCATGGGGGCGGGGCGTGTGGGCGGGGCGTGGGTGGGGTTGAAGGGGGAGGGTGGAGGTGAGTGGAGGAGAGAGAGGATCGATGGTGGAGCACCTGGCTAGTGCCGCCCTTCAGGGTGCCAGGTGCGCGGCCCCCAGTGCCACCACCCACTACCGCCACCCACTACCACCCCCCACTACCACCACTCACTACCACCACCCACTACCACCACCCACTACCACCACCCACTACCACCACCCAGTGCCACCACCCAGTGCCACCACCCACTACCACCCCCCACTACCACCACTCACTACCACCACCCACTACCATCACCCACTACCACCACCCACTACCACCACCCACTACCACCACCCACTACCATCACCCACTGCCACCACCCACTACCACCACCCACTACTACCACCACCCACTACCGCCACCCACTACCACCACCCACTACCACCACCCACTACCGCCACCCACTACCACCACCCACTACCGCCACCCACTACCACCACCCACTACCGCCACCCACTACCACCACCCACTACCGCCACCCACTACCGCCACCCACTACCGCCACCCACTACCACCACCCACTACCACCACCCACTACCACCCCCCACTACCACCACTCACTACCACCACTCACTACCACCACCCACTACCACCACCCACTACCACCACCCACTACCACCACCCAGTGCCACCACCCAGTGCCACCACCCACTACCACCCCCCACTACCACCACTCACTACCACTACCACCACCCACTACCACCACCCACTACCATCACCCACTACCACCACCCACTACCATCACCCACTACCACCACCCACTACCATCACCCACTACCACCACCCACTACCACCACCCACTACCACCACCCACTACCACCACCACCCACACTACCGCCACCCCACTACCACCACCCACTACCGCCACCCACTACCACCACCGCCACCCACTACCACCACCCACTACCACCACCCACTACCGCCACCCACTACCACCACCCACTACCACCACCCACCACCCCCCCCCCACTACCACCACTCACTACCACCACTCACTACCACCACCCAGTGCCACCACCAGTGCCACCACCCACTACCACCACCCACTACCACCACTCACTACCACTACCACCACCCACTACCACCACCCACTACCACCACCCACTACCACCACCCACTACCACCACCCACTACCACCACCCACTACCACCACCCACTACCATCACCCACTACCACCACCCACTACCACCCCCCACTACCACCACTCACTACCACTACCACCACCCACTACCACCACCCACTACCATCACCCACTACCACCACCCACTACCACCACCCACTACCACCACCCACTACCATCACCCACTACCACCACCCACTACCACCACCCACTACCACCACCCACTACCACCACCCACTACCACCACCCACTACCACCACCCACTACCACCACCCACCACCACCACCCCACCACCCCCCCACACCACCCACTACCACCACCCACTACCACCACCCACTACCACCCCACCCACCACCACCACCCACTACCACCACCCACTACCATCACCACCACTACCACCACCCACCACCCCCACACCACTACCACCACCCCACTACCACCACCCACTACCACCACCACCACTACCCACCCACTACCACCACCCACTACCACCACCCCCACTACCACCACCCACTACCACCACCCACTACCACCACCCACTACCATCACCCACTACCACCACCACTACCACCACCCACTACCACCACCCACTACCACCACCACTACCATCACCCACTACCACCACCCACTACCACCACCCACTACCATCACCCACTACCACCACCCACTACCACCACCACCACTACCACTACCACCACCCACTACCACCACCCACTACCACCACCCACCCACTACCACTACCACCACCACTACCACCACCCACTACCACCACCCACTACCACCACCACCACCACCACCCACTACCACCACCCACTACCCACCCACTACCACCACCCACTACCACACCACCCACTACCACCACCCACTACCACCACCCACTACCACCACCCACTACCGCCACCCACTACCACCACCCACTACCGCCACCCACTACCGCCACCCACTACCGAGGGGGTAACACTGGCACTGCGTCCAGAAGCACACGCCCTATTTACAGCAACCCCGACCCGACGAGGTTGTGCACAAACCCAACACTAATTACTGTTAAAAACTGGGTGAGGCTAGCCCAAAGGGTTTCGCTTCGAACCTCGCAGATATACAGACAAACATTCTAAATCAGGATATATATTATATATACATATACATACATATATATATATATATATATATATATATATATATATATATATATATATATATATATATATATATATATATATATAGATATATATATATAGGAAGACGGTCGGCCGAGCGGACAGCACGCTGGACTGTGATCCTGTGGTCCCGGGTTCGATCCCGGGCGCCGGCGAGAAACAATGATCAGAGTTTCTTTCACCCTATGCCCTGTTACCTAGCAGTAAAATAGGTACCTGGGTGTTAGTCAGTTGTCACGGGCTGCTTCCTGGGGGTGGAGGCCTGGTCGAGGACCGGGCCGCAGGGACACTAAAGCCCCGAAATCATCTCAAGATAACCTCAAGATATATGCAGCATATCCACAATAGTGTGGGTAAAAACATTTCATTCACTTGGATAATCGGAGATTCGAACTCGGGTCTAAATATACAAGACTGTCCTTCCAGCCAGGCCTTGGATGTTAACAATAAAAAGTCCCTAACAGGTGCCAAACAGAGAACTTAAATTTTCCCTGAAGCACTGATCAGGTCCCTGGAAATAATCCACCTCCTTCAACCATTATTTTATGAATGTTTTCCACTTTGCATAAATGTCTTCTCCAGTTCCCCTTCAGCCTCTCCACTGTGTTCAAGGGTTGGCCAGCACTCTTGTTACCGTCAAGGGCTGGTCCCTTGACGATACCAAGGGACCTCAAGACGCCACAGTATCGTCATATATAGGCTCGGTAAGGGAACACCATGTGAGGAATTAACAACAATTGTAGAGTAAGTTATGCAAAGGTAGATCTCTCTTATGCTCAGGTGAGACCATTCTACGATACCTCCACTCAGTGCTGGGTGAAGCAGTGCTACGATACCCCTATAATGTTGGGCGAAAACCATCGGCCAGTTAGATGCTGGTTTAACCACTGAGAGTAATTAGGGTGGTAGTGAGCAATTAGGGTGGTTGAGAGCAGTTGGGGTGGTAGAAAGCAATTAGGGTTGTTGAGAGTAATTAGGGCGTTCCATGCCAGTGTGACCTGACCTGACGACTCCATCGGGTGATCCAGTCATAGTTACCTTCAAGCCGATTCAACCATTAACAGATGATCTCCTCATCAAACTATGTACGGCAATTATCCCTCCACCAAATTATGAATGGGAGAGTGAAGAGGAGGGGGTATGAGGGATGGGAGGGGGCAGGAGGGGAGGGAGCAGGGATTGGGGATTGGGAGAATGAACAAGGACAAGAAGATTGGGGACAGTAAAGAACAGTAGGGAGGCATAAGAACCAGGAAGATCAGGGAGTAAGGAACCAGAGAGGGAGAGAAAGGAGAAGATGTAGAAACCAGTAATAAAGGAAGGCATGGGGAAGAGGAGGGGTGTAAGACCTAGAAGGGGGGAGGGGGAGGGAGAGAAGGACCCAGGAGAAGGGGGGGGAGGGAGAAGGACCCCAGGAGAGGGGGGAGGGAGAAGGACCCCAGGAGAAGGGGGGGGAGAGAAGGACCCCAGGAAAAGGGAGGGGGGAGGGAGAAGGACCCCAGGAGAAGGGGGAGAGGGGGAGGGAGAGAAGGACCCCAGGAGAAGGGGGGGGAGGGAGAAGGACCCAGGAGAGGGGGGGGAGGAAGAGAAGGACCCCAGGAGAAGGGGGGAGGGAGAAGGACCCCAGGAGAAGGGGGGAGGAAGAGAAGGACCCCAGGAGAAAGGGGGGGGAGAAGGATCCCAGGAGAAGGGGGGGGGAGAAGGACCCCAGGAGAAGGGGGGAGGGGGGAGGGAGAAGGACCCCAGGAGAAGGGGGGGGAGAAGGACCCCAGGAGAAGGGGGGGGTGAGAGAAGGACCCCAGGAGAAGGGGGAGAGGGGGAGGGAGAGAAGGACCCCAGGAGAAGGGGGGAGGGGGAGGGGAGAAGGACCCCAGGAGAAGGGGGGGGGGGAGAAGGACCCCAGGAGAAGGGGGGGGTGAGAGAAGGACCCCAGGAGAAGGGGGGAGGGGGGAGGGAGAGAGAAGGACCCCAGGAGAAGGGGGGAGGGGGAGGGAGAAGGACCCCAGGAAAAGGGGGGGGAGTAAACAGGGACGGTTAATAAACAAGGAGATCCGTTGAGAGCCAATAAACATATAATAGAGCATTATAACCTCACTATGCACAAACAGTTTAGCACCGCTGGTAATGCTGTCAACGCTTCCAACACTTTACATATGTATGTGAAAATATATGATTCTCAGCTAATCACTTTTGCAATAATGGGTTTCTCTTTGTCAGGCTCAAGCTAGACACAATGATAATAATAATAATAATAATAATAATAATAATAATAATAATAATAATAATAATAATATATCTATGGAACAATACATACATCTGCAGATGCCAAAAACAAGTCTAGAGATAACAAATATAAGTCTGAGACGCCAAACACAAGTCTGGAGACGCCTTAAGTAAGTCTGGAGACGCCAAATAGAGAGAGAAAGAGCAGGAATAAGTTTACATCGCCTTATATAAGTCTTGGACAATCATCCACACACACACAAGCTATTAAGGAAGACAAAACTTCGCCATAAGTGTGTCGACCCTGATTGACCCCAGTCACCTCAACTCTCTCTCTCTCTCTCTCTCTCTCTCTCTCTCTCTCTCTCTCTCTCTCTCTCTC